TTATTTGGTCAAGAAACCATATAAACTACCGAATTTATAATAATTAAACATCAATGTTTAATATATAGGCTGTAAAAATATACAACCTTAGTTAACTTTGGTTACAATAAAAATGGCTTTGCTTCTGGTTTCTGTTTTGTGAATTAAAAATAGTAAAGTTAATCAGATTATAAACGGTTTAATCATTCCGGTTCGTTTCGTAAGCATATCCATAAGTAACATTCAATTTGAAACTATAGTGGAAATGATCACAATTATTGAATATTAACACGTAGGCGGCGCCGGTGTATCTATCGGAGGTAGCTCCGCCGCGATGGCGTGGAGCTTTCAACTCCGGCTTTCAATTCTTCATCGGGGTCGGAGTTGTAGCAGCCAATATGATAAACTACGGCACGGCCAACCACCGTAACGGCTGGCGAATCTCATTAGGTCTCGCCGCCGTACCAGCCGCGATCATGACCGTCGGAACTCTAACCATCTCCGACACACCTTCTAGCCTCTTGGCGCGTGGGAAACACGATCACGCTCGCGCGTCGTTGCTAAAACTACGTGGCACCGAGAACAGAGCTGACGTGGAAACAGAGCTGGCTGAGCTGGTTAAGTCGAGTCAGTTAGTCATTGAAGCTAAACCCGAGCCGTTTAGGACCATGCTTGAGAGACGGTACAGGCCTCAGCTTGTGGTTGCAGTGGCGATTCCTTGTTTTCAGCAGTTAACCGGAATCACGGTTAATGCGTTCTACGCGCCGGCTCTGTTTCGTTCGGTCGGGTTTGGTTCTGGTCCGGCTCTTATTGCGACGGTTATACTCGGGTTGGTTAATCTTGGTTCGATTCTTGTATCAACCATGGTTATTGATCGGTTTGGTAGACGGTTCTTGTTCATTGCTGGTGGTATTCAGATGTTTGTCTGTCAGGTACGCTCTAACTAAATATAGTAGTACAAGTTTTCATTAACGACCAAATTATTTTACACCACTCAATATTACATAACGCTTCGAAATTTGAAGTGATCTTTACTATAATGTTATACATACTTTTATTGCAGTCTTTGAAATTGTACTAAAGAAAATTAAAAAAGAAAATATGATATGTATGCTAAAAATGGAGGCAAATAATGTGGCAGGTGGCAGTGGCTGGATTGCTAGCGGCGACAGTGGGAGCAGTCGGGAGGGGAGAAATGACAAAGGGCTACGCCGTGACGGTGGTGGTGTTGTTATGCATATACGCGGCTGGTTTCGGATGGTCGTGGGGTCCACTGAGCTGGCTGGTCCCGAGTGAGATTTTCCCGCTTAAGATGCGACCAGCTGGTCAGAGCTTGAGCGTAGCCGTTAACTTTGCAGCAACGTTTGCTCTTTCTCAGACGTTCCTCGCCACGCTCTGCCGTTTTAAGTACGGTGCGTTCTTGTTTTACGGCGGGTGGATCTTGATAATGACGGTATTCGTTGTGATGTTCTTGCCGGAGACGAAAGGGATCCATGTGGATTCCATGTACCAAGTTTGGGAGAAGCATTGGTTTTGGCGACGGTTTACCAAACCGACTTCAATTTGAAACCTTGGGAAATATGGAAAGAATGAGCAATCATTCTTACTTATGATTAATTAAACTTGTTGGGAAAATGGCAAGAAGAAGCAATTATTGTTACATCATTCTCAGTTATGATTAAACTTGTTGGGAAAATGGTAAGAAGAAGCAATGATACAAATTGTTGAATCAAACTTGTGCTAGTATTATTTTACTTCTCTTTGAAGATGGCATCGAAAAGTAAAATTCATAGAAGAAGTTGTAAAAAGGAATTCTTTAAAACAAATAATTTTTTTGCTAATATTGCATGACCTGAGCGAGACCTTTATAATACTAAAGGAAAAATGAGTTTTTATAGCGATGAAAAATCACAGAATACCATAACGGTTTTACAAGCGTTCTATCAACGTCCACGACAACAGATCATCTATTGTCGATAGTGTTTTTTAGTCTTATTATCGTTACGTCATTTAATGTAGCGTGGTTTTACCTGCAATGATATATATTTAAAATAGTATTTGTGTTGTTATTAATTCTTTTTTAAAAGCGTAAATTGGAAAGTATCATAGCATTCCATAAAATATAATGAATCCTGTATTTTGCTCTCTTTTGCATCTCTATAGC